CATTTAAAAGAAAACAAAAATGTGGGTCCACCAAGCCTAAAATGAGGAATAGAAAATTTATAAGAAACAATGGAGAGATATTTGTAACATTACCTACTGATTTTCCATTAAACGATGTTTGTTTGTTTGTTTTAGTATCCAGAAATCATGAGTTGTTAACCCTTAGGCTCGGTATTATGGATATCGCAACCTTTCGGCCTTGATTCCATCGTAAATACCGTAAATCTGGGAGAAATGGGGCTTTTCTGCCTACTCCCGGGAGTGAACCCGGACCACAAGGAGTTCGTCACCCGGTCACCGCGCAGTCGGGTTTAGCCAACTACGCTAGAGAGCCGGGCTCTATTAAACGATAAAACTATTGATTAGTATCTTATGTCCAAAGCTCTTCAAAAAAGCCGTAGGGTATTTTTATGTAACCATTTATTATTCATGTCAATGAATATTTGTCAAAAGTAAAATCAAAGCAAGAATCCAGATCACCGATTTGGTTGCACTGGATTTTATCGTATACCGCTGGGACTTCCCGCACAGAATGGCAAACGGCTTGCCGAGAGCATCGCACAAAGCATGGAGATTGTAGCTACAGCAAGATCGACATAAATCTATGTGTATATTGCATTCTAGAAACGAACGATGAATCTATAAAACAAGCCTACTATCTTAGGAGACAGTGCAACTGCATGACCACTTTGCTAGTGTCACAGACTGCACCAGATTAGCACTTACTAGCGATCAGCACACTTGACTTCTCTTTAACCTATTATTTTTTAATTTAAACTGAGCTGTTCAAGAGGAACATAATTGTTTGTTACACGACTGTTTTAGTTTTCCACATCGTTCCTTTCCAAATGCTCTTCTGTCATATTATTATTTTGTTCTGCTTCTCTGGTTTGTATCTGCCCACTGAAAACTCTTTATTTATGTCACTTCTCTGTTGACAGCTATTTTTCCCAAATGGCCTTGGCTCCCAGCTCGACCTAGCTTTACATCGGTACCAGGTAAAGTTCTGGAAAGTAAAGGCGGTCTGCTTGATTTTTACCACATCGCCCGCGGATTTCGAGTGGTCTATAAAATATGTGTTTAGCACCATATACCACAATTATCTTCATAAAGTCCTCGCATTGTGGCATTGGTAGTCATTTCCACAACCTTCTATCCATTGTAGTTTTAATTAGCTTTGATACAGAAGAGTATGCTTTCAACACTGGTGGTCATGTCAATACTGCTAACTCTCTTTGTCTGTTCTGCTGTTATCGTCGTATTGCTCTGTTATTTACTCTGTCCATCTTTCAACTACATTCTCTTTGTCCATTTATATTTCGCATTCTTTTATTTCAAACAAAGATCTGCTGTATATTTTCTCTCAAACCTGACGGTTAGTTGTTTACACGGGTAGACAGAGTTTTAAAATAGGAACTTTTAATTTGTAAAACACCGAGAAGTCGCTAATGCTACAGACATGCATTTCTGACTTGCAGAGTACAAGTTATTAAGGAAGTGGTTTTAAACAAGAAGGAAAATGTCGCTTTTGTAAGAAAATAGTCGCCAAGTTAAGAGCTGGCTAGTTAGTGAGTTGAGAGAACAGTGAAAGCAGCTGCCCTGAAAAGTCTTTGCGATGGCTGCTATGAAGAAGATTGCCCAAGACAAAGAAAAAAAAATGTTTTTAAAAATGGCCTCTTGGTGATTTAAAAGTACAGACATAAAGTTCTCAAGATAACCTCTAGTCATTGAAAGATATCTCAGTTACAGTGCCTGACTTGACGAGCATATGTTATCAAGATTGTGATTTCGAACAAGCATATTGCCATCCTGTAAGAAATAGTTGGTAAGCTGGGAGGTGGTTAGGGAGTCAAGAATAGCAGTGAATGTCGAAGACAGGAAACCGCCGAGCTCGTTGCTGGTTAGTGAAAGACATGTTGGCAAAATCGTCACCTAGTATTTGAGAAATTGGAAGGCTTAGTGACGCGGCAATAATTTCCAAGGGTGGGAAACAACACTTTAAGCCTGTTGTAGAATTTTACTAATCTTCACTGGGATACAAATAACCACTACAGCGGAAAAGTCACCAAGATTTGGTTGGAAAGTCACATATGACAGCCAGATGACACACACCCCATTGCCATATGTTTTTAATTTTCATTTGTTGTGCTTGCATCCCCTGCGGCACCACACAATACCAGCTGCTTACGTTGATCCACCCAGCGCTACCCACTGAACGACACCCACACCAATTACGACACCCACACCACCCGTGTCACCATACTATCTGCGGGACCCGCACATCCAGCGGCATCAGCGCTAAGGCAGAGCCCGCACAGAGTGGTAATCGCTCAGTGAACTTACTTGCCGTCCCAACATTGGACACGTTTTTTCGTCATTTTAAAGCCCTAACCCGGCTGTTGTTGGGTCACCAGTCTAACTTAACTGTCGAAAGGGGTTTCTGGGACCGGTCACCAGGTAATTCTCATCCGAATGGTGGCATTTTGTGTCACGGTTGGTAATCCCTCGTTGTATGGTCCTGGTGAGGTTAAACTACACACACACTCAATGAACTAGCTGAGGGGGATGGAAACGTTTATGTATTCTCATTTCAGGGAGTAATGAGTAAGTATCTGTGCTTGTGTGTGGGGGAAGTGTGAGTGAGGTAGTATGCATGTGTGTGTCTATGTATGTGTGTGTGCATGAGAAAGAGAGAGAGAGAGAGAGAGAGAGAGAGAGAGAGAGAGAGAGAGAGAGAGAGAGAGATGTTATTTGCGTATCCTTTACAGGACGTTGCAGAACCAACCCCAACAGCCCCTGGCCATGGTGTGCTTTTTCTAGGCAAATTTAAGTTCAGTAGTTTGCCATTGCTTTCTAGATGGTCAGCTTTCTTGATAACACTGGCGAAACCAACGCAAGGCGCATGGCCCGCAGCTGGGATCGAACCCGGCATCCTGGCATTACAAAGCGTTCGCATCGACTTAGCCACAGAGCCGACGAGAGAGAGAGAGAAAGAGAGATAGAGAGAGATAAAGAGAGAGAAAGAGAGAGAGAGAGAGAGAGAGAGAGAGAGATTCAAAATGAAGCATAACTTTTCAAATGCCATAACCCAGAATTAAGCATTACACGCATGGAATAACGTCTGCTAGAGGCCCGCATTGTATCAGACCAACAGTCCCAAGTCTGTTCAGTTGGAGGCCCGCATCGTATCAGACCAACAGTCCCGAGTCTGTTCAGCTGGAGGCCCGCATCGTATCAGACCTACAGTCCCGAGTCTGTTCAGCTGGAGGCCCGCATCGTATCAGACCTACAGTCCCGAGTCTGTTCAGCTGGAGGCCCGCATCGTATCAGACCTACAGTCCCGAGTCTGTTCAGCTGGAGGCCCGCATCGTATCAGACCAACAGTCCCGAGTCTGTTCAGCTGGAGGCCCGCATCGTATCAGACCAACAGTCCCGAGTCTGTTCAGCTGGAGGCCCGCATCGTATAAGACCTACAGTCCCGAGTTTGTTCAGCTGGAGGCAGGCATGGAATCAGACCAACAGTCCCGAGTCTGTTTAGCTCGAGCAGACTCAAAATTGCCTTCCAGACAATGACAGGTATTTTCTGAATTAAAACACAAAGAGAGCTATGGTGGTTGTTTATCCCTTGGATAACGTTTTGGTTATCCTACGCAATTTTACATACACGGGTTTTCAAGCTCTAAACGATCGGCTCGCACCACTATTGTAGAAATCAACACAAAGTGATCTGTTACCAAACTCGCTAGAATCCAGTTGCATGTCTCGAAATTAGGAAGTTGGTTGGATACGCCGAAGCGATAGACACAGATTACACAAAGAGAGTCTTTAAAAGGTAAAAAGGAGGGAATTAAATTGTATGACAGGATAACTAATGCAGAGCTTTGGAAGAGAACTAGACACGTTCCCGTGGACCAAGTGGTGAAGAAAAGACACTGGCCTTTGATAAGGCATACGGTGAGTAAAGCTGAGAACAATATAACTAGACTGTATTTGCACCGGAACCCACACAGGCATAGAAATAACGGAAGATAAAAAAAAAAAAAAAAAAAAGAAACCACAAAGTATGCAGCATGAGAGTAAAGTTAAAAAGATAGGGAGGACATGGGTAAAGCTGCAGGCGATAGTGAAGGATAGAGCCACTTAAAGTGAGTTGACTTAAGGCCTATGATCCATTGGCGGATAGAAGACCAGGGGAAAAAAAGAAGAAAGTTCAAAGAAGGGACATTGTAAAACATGGTGGCGAATGGAAAGATCAGCGGCAGACAAGGCAGATGCAGACCAAGTCAGTTTGTGGTCTAGTACAGTGTCATTAAAAAAATTACAATAAACTGATTCAAAACACACAGATTTGGATACAAGCATAAACGTTCAAGCTATGGGACAATATCACAGTGGTGAAAAATTATAGGTCCGTCTCGACGCTCTAGATTAAAAAAAAAAAACAAAAAAAAACATTGACAGTTTTGTAAACAAATGTCCTAAGAGAATACTAAATCACCACTGAACAGATTTCAGATCCAATACGTAAATAAGACAAGAGACCAAACTGGACAATGTATTCAGTTTTATAAGAAAGCGTAGCAGGAACAACATCAGCCATGCACTCAGAATGGATAAGACAAGACTCTCCCATCAAGCCTTCATGTGGACACCGGAAGGGAAAAGAAAAAGAAGAAGATCAATAGAGACTACGTAAAACGATCATCAGGGAAGGCTCAACCATGGGCCTAACAAACATCCCAGACCTGAAGCAGGTGGCAAGGAACCACCAGACACGGAGAGTTATGACCTCTGACCTATGCGCCGTCTTAGACCCAAGAGGAAAGACTAACTTATTCAGAACTTCAGGGTTCGAAAAAAAAAAAAAAAAAAAGGATAACGTATTTAAATAGTCATTACCGTGGGTAGAAGTTCTTAGAACAAACGTTTCTGTGTGAACCCACTGTTTCACAATTAAAAGTATTATACTGCATGAATGAACAAACATCGACAGGATTTACCTTCTCATGCGGCTGATAAGGTTGTCAACTTGGTCGTCGAAATCGGACGTGAACATCCGCTTGATGCCTTCTAGCTTACTCAACAGTGACCTCGTTGTAAGAGGAAAGGAAAGCTTGTCCTGGTCGCTAACAGCTTTCGCCAGGGCTGCGTCCAGAAGCACTACACGTTTGCCCAGATTTTGACAACCTCCATACCCATTGCAGAACAACTTCTTGATCCTTTCGTGGAGCATTCCATCTGTCAAAGGAGTCATCTTCGAAACTTCATTCATGTTTGGCCCTGGGCTGAATCTTTTCTTTCCGCTGTTGTAACAACCGTACGAATTACAGAAAGGACGTTTCCTGAAGTTAGGCAAAAGTCGCTTCCCGATTTCTGCCACAGGCTGTTGTTGTCTCCGTCTCCCACGGAAACGACCTCCACATCCAGTAAAGCCATTGCAGAAAACTCTTTTGGTAAGTCTAGATTTGTCTGTCGGATCTTCACTCTCCAAGTCTTTGTCCACCGAGGCTGAAGAAGACTTGGAAATTAAATCGAGTATTGACTGTCTCACAAGCAGCAGCTCGGACAGGCTACGCAGGTTTTCCTCGTCAGGGATGGATTGGGGACTGTCTGGACTAGACAATGACAACCGACTGTTTCTGAAGTTTGACTCTGGCAGCTGCAGGTGAGAGAGGGAGGTAGCATTGTCAAATCATAATATACATTGTCTTTGATAATATGACTTATAGATAGTATCATTACTATTGTTCCAGACAGTTTGTATGTGTGTGGGTGTGTTTGTGTGTGTGTCTGTGTATGTGTGTGAGAGAGAGAGAGAGAGAGAGAGAGAGAGAGAGAGAGAGAGAGAGAAAGAGTTAACCCAGCAGTGATCATAGAGAGGGATTATAGTGTGTGGGCAACATAGGGTCTTTATGATACATCGCAATCTGTGTGGAACGGAAATGAGCTGATTCTTATATGGCCCTAAATAGCACTGCCATGTGCTGTGACCCACATGCTTCCATCAGTCACAATAGAACAAGACAGAGAATAATAGATGGGCAGCTAAAAGCTGCAACAAGATGAACAAATCCACTACCCAGGGCATCCGAGAAGCGCAAGACAAATACAGAAAACTACAACACTGGGATACAGCGTGCTTTCAGTGAGACGATACAAGAAAAAGAAGAAAAATGTCTTGTGCAGAAATAACAAGGATGACTAGTGCTTCATCACTGATAGTAGGTCCCAAGACATGATCTATCGTGTCCTGCCGGGTAAATGTATCCCCTTTGTCAGACTGACACAGGCAACTCTTAGAGATTACCCGTTCCTTCTTGAAACACATGGCTGAGATTTTTTACTGTCATAGACAAATGTTTGATATTTCTTGCACAGATGTCAGAAAGTCAATTTGTGTTTTGTTAATATTAGTTGTAACATTGTCTAATCATGGCATATGCTGATGAAGGTTTTCTAACCGCAAAGTTCACTCGACGTACGCCATTAAGATAATGTTAAGATAATGTGAAGTTGCCTAGTTCTACTTATTTAGTATTATATATCTTTTCAATATATATAGGATCGGATTGGGTGTTCAGTATGATATGTTAGATTTACATCTGCCTGGCAGCAAGGCGATACTTGGAACAGCTCCCCGCCCCCCCCCCCTCTCCTCCCCCTTTTTTTTTTAAATTTCTTTAATGTAGAGACACAGCGCCATAGGTAAGTAACACAGTGACATGGGTAAGTAACATAGTGCCATGGGTAAGTAACACAGTGACATGGGTAAGTAACACAGTGCCATAGGTAAGTAACACAGTGACATGGGTAAGTAACACAGCGCCATGGGTAAGTAACACAGCGCCATGGGTAAGTAACACAGCGCCATGGGTAAGTAACACAGCTCCATGGGTAAGAAGTAACACAGCGCCTTGGGTGAGTAACACAGCGCCATGGGTAAGTAACACAGCGCCATGGGTAAGTAACACAGCGCCTTGGGTGAGTAACACAGCGCCAAGGGTAAGTAACACAGCGCCATGGGTAAGTAACACATAGCCATGGGTAAGTAACACAGCGCCCTGGGTAAGAAGTAACACAGCACCATGCATAAGTAACACAGCGCGCTGGGTAAGAAGTAACACAGCGCCATGCATAAGTAACACAGCGCCCTGGGTAAGAAGTAACACAGCGCCATGCATAAGTAACACAGCGCCATGCATAAGTAACACAGCGCCATGCATAAGTAACACAGCGCCCTGGGTAAGAAGTAACACAGCGCCATGCATAAGTAACACAGCGCCCTGGGTAAGAAGTAACACATGCATAAGTAACACAGCGCCCTGGGTAAGAAGTAACACAGCGCCATGCATAAGTAACACAGCGCCATGCATAAGTAACACAGCGCCATGCATAAGTAACACAGCGCCTTGCATAAGTAACACAGCGCCATGCATAAGTAACACAGCGTCTTGGGTTAGTGTTTGTCTGGACCAGTTAAAGCCGTGATGCTTTTGGCATCCAGGCAATTTTTTTTAAACCATTTTTTAAATACTTTTTTTTTCTTCTATTGACTTCATTGCCAGCTAATTTACCACACTTTTATGTTTGTTCTGCCTAGTTTGTTTCAAAGACATTTAACCCATTATTCTGTAAAATCAGACCACTAGTCTTCAGCTTTCTTGATGCTCTAATTTCCTGATCTTTGAGGCAGATATATCACCGAATTTGTAATTTTTTTGTCATTAAAAAGGAGTAGCAGATAACGTTGTGATTAGCGGTTGTTCTTCTTGGTACAGCCATTAAATCTGACGCATGTTGTGGTACAGACATTATAACAATTTTTCATCTTTTCTCTACACAGCTGTACACAGGATATAAACAGGAAAGAGAATTTCTTACCGGGTTTAACTCGTTACTGAGCTCCGACGTAGAGGTGCCGGTACCGCACAGAAGAACACAGAAGACTGTCAGGACAAACCTGCTTGCTGCTGCTGGTGCTAACATTTCTTGCATCGTGGTGTGGCTATGTGAGAATCTGACCTTGACTTTCAGCAGCCAGCTAGTTCTGCAACAATGACATGACATGCTAAAGTCAATTACGTAAATAATTATTCACATTCATGTGGACTCGAACCTAAAACCTTCCGACCTGCAGGCGAGGTTCTCTTCACTGCGCCACTTCAGCTTATTTCTCAAATTAAGATCCGGTGGTATTTTGTTTTTTTGGTTTTCTCCATAAAGTCACCACTAATGATTCTATCGTACCATTGTAAAGATTATAATTGATCGTAACCACTAGTTAACAAAAACCTGGCCTGTTCTCAACATGAAAGGCCAGCTCAACCTCATATCCACACTAGGACAGAAAAACATACGTTGCTGTCCCAATATGGGGGACGGGGGTGGGGGGGTGGGGGGTGGGAGGGGGGGGGGGGGGGGGTGGGGGGGGGGGCGGGGGGGGGGGGGGGCTTTTTCTGGGTTTTTAAAGCCCCACTCCGGCTGTTATTTGAGGCCCTAATATGTCCCAATGGTTCAACAGGGTTTCTCGGGACTTGCACCCTTGCACCCGGGTGATGCGGTCATCCGAATGAAGCATTTTGTGTCACTAGACTAGAAATGTGCTCGGTTGTTGCTATCAGGACTGTATATGGTGGGGTTTGCTGAGTGGTCATTTCACTCACTAGAGCTCTTCTCTGCCTAAATGAATGACATCTGATTTGCTGTCCATAGAATATAACTCCTCAACGACAAAAATAACACAGGAGCAAATGTAAAGCACCGTTCATTTTACACTGGATAAACTTCTTTCTCATCTTTTTGTCAAAATCTGTTGAGCCGTGGCCAGTCTATCAGATGATCGGCTCGCAGGGCGCGCTCAGTCGCTTCATCCCCGTGACAATGAAGTCTCAAGTTGTCAGTGACCCATCCATCCATCTTCTTCTGCTGTCCTCTTGAATTTCGAATGTTGTATGCTCCTGGCAACGAAGCAAAAGTACCTGCTAAACAAAGTGTGCTGAAAGCACCGTTCAAACAGTTTTGTGAAGGTGACTACATTTTGCCTCCAGGCCTAGGTCTCTAGCCATCTGAACGAATTCGCTGGTATCAGTATTTTTACGGTTATGACGAATCATAAAATGGCAACTAATCACGACGGATCTAATCTGATGCAGATATTTATTACGGAAACATAAAGCTCGAATCTGTGATCAACTTTTTGCTCGACCTTATTCAAATTTTTGCAAGCAGTTTCTGTGTGCATTGAGTGACGTTCAACCCCCCCAGCACCGCAAAACGAGCGAGTGACACAAGTACCTCTATTCGGATGTCAATCCTTCATGTACATGTCCCAGAAACCCCGTTCAACCATTAGGTTATATTCTGGGGCCCCGACGACAGCCGGGCTGTGGATTCAATATAACATCAAACTGTGTCAGACACGCTTGTTTGGTAATGTCTCCTTATTGAACAATGAGTTAGTAGTTCATTTTATATCCACCAGGACATCACACAAGCGATAAACACCCAGTGACACAAAGTGTCACTATGCGGATGAGGATCACCCGTGAAGCGGTTCGGAAACCGCGTTCAGCCGTTAGGTTATATTAGGGCCCTCCGGCAACAGCCAAGTTTTGGGCTTTAAAGAAACGAAAAATTGCATCCCACAAGGGGACGAACGGCTTATATATAACTCACAAAAATGTATGTAAGTTGTACCCAATCAGTACATCACACATGCGATAAACATCCGCTGACACAAAGTGCCACCATGCGGATGAAGATCACCCGTGGAGAGGTCCCAGAAACCCCGTTCAACCATGAGGCCATATTTCAGGCCCGGCTATATACAGGGCACACGACAAAAGCAATGGAGGGGCTTCAAAAGAACTAACTAATGCATCCCACAAGGGTAGAACAAGATTAATTACACACAAACACACACAAAATGAGTGGTAGGTAGTTAGGTACTTATACCCCACCAGGAAATCACACAAGCTATAATTACCCGGTGACACAAAGTGCCACCATGGAGATGAGGATCACCCATGGAGAGGTCCCAGAAACCGTTTTCAGCCGCTAGGCTGTATTCACGGCCCCACGTAGAAGCCAGGGTGTGGCTTCAAACAAAAAGTTACATCCTGCAAGGAGACGATTTCTTTATTTTTCAATAAACGACCTTACTTGCCATTTACTAGCATAATTGTACAGACACCAATGAGTAAGGTGTATAATTTATACTTGTTAGTATTTGTAGAACCAACATTATATCATTTGACATAATGTACAGGTATACCAACGTTTGATCTTTTTATGTATTGTATTGGACAATACCTGTATATGATGTACCGTGTCACTTGACTGCTCTAATTTGCAATTACACCTCCACAATTTCCGATTTCCACAATAGTTTCCTTTTGAACTTCTTTGTGGAGTTGTGTCCCTTCAAAGAACGTGAGCTATCTTGGAAAAACCTGAACAATTTACAGGAAATTTCTTTACCCGCTCGGCACTAAACCACTGGTTATGCCTTTTTATTTATTATTATTATTATTTTTTAAATTTAAATTGAATTTTAAATAGCGCTAAAGACTTTATTGAGTACAAAATGATGACGCAAATAAGGGGTGAGAGGATTGCAAGAAATGCTGAATAAAACTGAAGATTGACTACAAAGCTCAAGGGAAGGAATGGAAAAGACGCATACAATTGCAACCGAACATTTTGACCAACGCTTTTTTTTTTTAAACGGAATGCTAAATACAACACAAACTGTGTCTGGAAATCTCAACGGACAAGACAACACTGCCAATAAAAATAAACGGTCAACTTGTTCTGTTGTCTTGTCCGTTTGAGTTTTCCAGACACAGTTGGCGCGGCATTTAGTATTCCGTTGATGAAGATTTTGGTAGAAACGTTCGGTTGTGTTTTTGTGCGTCTTTTATATTGATTCTGTTGAGCGTTGCAATCACGTTTAGGAAGTTTTACACTTGGGGGGGGGGGGGGGGGGGCGGTTGAATTTTGAACGTTTTTGCGTGTGTGGTGTGTGTGTGTGTGTGTGTGTGTGTGTGTGCTTTGTTTCGTTTCAAAACAACCCACCGACACCGGACTACAAGTTACAATGCCATTGTTATGTGGTGCCACAATATCCACTGTGCTATTTGACAATACGGCTTAACGGAGTTTCCGAGATTTGTAGCTGTTTGACTGTTAACTTTGAGGCGTTGATCCTTCAAAATACTAAACCTGGAGGGGAGAAACTTGCATTTTCAATATATATATATAGTTTTTTTATGCTCAAAGTCAATTTTAAGTTAATAAGTTAATATTATTAGAAATTAGCGGGGTATAACAAAGACTACATGAAGCTGAAATATTAAGCAAAAATAACCTGTAAAAAATGTATATATTCGCATACTTAAAACAATTTCCGAATAAATTTAAGACAACCGTGTTTACATATAAGAGTCATTGAGACTATTATAGTGTATAATGTTTACAGTGTTACAACTATGAGTTATGAGTTAGATTATCTTCTCAGCATTCCGGACACATCCATAGTGTTACAACTAGATGTCAGCACTGAACAAAGCGATCACTTAGAAATGTATATAGATGTTACAAATATCAGTAGTTAATTTAAAATAAATAGTTCTTAGCCGTTGAATGAAATACCTGGTTCAAATTACGACCAAAGGCGAATGGTCCGCCTAAAAATACGCATCCTAGTGAAACAACGTCTTTTTAAGCAAACTTGTGTCCGTCCGCCGAGCCGCGCTGATGGTGGAGCCAACCAATGCACTCAAATAAATCCGCCACGATCAGACAGTGTCGTTATTTATTCAAGCGATACTTCTGGGACGGATATAGCATTAATTCTTTAATGATGACCATTGAACGCACCTATAAAGTTGGCGGTACTTGACGAAGTTGATAGAATCCCAGGAAGTAGAATAGGAAAGACGTTAGAGATGAATAATCAACCCATTGGAACTTTTCTCGGTCTTCCTGTATTACTTAATAATGACATCCGGAAAATTAAATAGTTTATGAAAATACCGAAGAAATATTTGAACGAGTGCGCGCCTTACTAACGAGGGTATGGAGGGACAATATAACATGGTTAAAAGAGCTAATGACGGTATAGCGAGAAAACAAGAGTGTTGTAACACCTTGTGGCTGCATAGAAGGAAAACATGTGTTTTCGACACCAACTATAGCAGGTAACTATTTAGGTGATTGAAAATGTCACATGGGTACAAAACTAACGGAAAAACACAGCTGAAAAATAACGGGAAATAACGTGTTGATAACAAATTATACTTATTACTTTATAACAATAATGACAACAAAGGACGGTATTATCATCTGTTTCAAAAAATATTGACATCAAAGTTGGCGATTATTCCATGTTTATTACAATTTAGGACAGCAACGAGGAGAATTATTTCGTGTTGTATAATAACTAATGGCCTCAGAGATGAAAACACATACAGTACAACTTCGATTAACCGTCACGGTCC